TTCCATATAGCCTGGCACCATAAGAGTATTCTCCACTCCATTAGCATGACATTTCAATGCACAGGGCTAAATGTTCCCACTCCTTAAACTCTCAGCCTCCGAGGATTCTGTGGCCTACATAAAAGACTCCGCTTAGACCTAAGCTGCTCCTTTTTGCTGTTGGGGGAAAATGCTATCAGAGAACTGAATGAGGAAAGTTTGTTCCAATTGAGGCAAAGCAGAGAAATGGAGCTATGACCGTGTTGCATTTATGTAAAATGCGAGACACTGTGAAGCTTGAGGAAAAAGAGGTATGCAGATTTAGGGACACATTAGAGTTCATGCAAAAATGAAATCATTTACTAATCCACAAGTTGTTTCGAATCTTTGACATTCTTCTGTGGAAGACGAAAGAAGATATTTGGAAGAATATCATGATTGTTCTTTCTATATAACCAAACCAAAAGCACCATAAAAGTATCTTAGTAGTTTACATGAATTGCGTGCCAAATTCGATAGATTTGTATGAAAAACAGACTGAAAATTGCATCATTATTCACTAAAAACCTTGACATCCATCCAAGGCATGTTCATAAGGGTTCACTGAGTGAAGCAAGGATGTCCGATTCATGAGCGAATGTTTCCTTTAAGCCATTTTTTAACAAATCAATCGATCCAGTTCATTCACAAATCAGACTGATCTAGTTCCTAACATCAACTCTTTGACTATATAATCTATCGCATGGCTTCAGAAGACTTGCAATTTAGCACACGAGTCATATGGACAATTTTAATGATGCTTTTGTGTAGTTTCCACAGCTTGAACGCTCCAGTCCCCATTCATTGTAATTGCACTGAAAACAGAGATGAGCACATTATCCAAATTTTCCTTTTTGTGTTCTGCAGAATAAAGAGAAAATGTCAGCCATATTTAAAACAACACGAGAGTGAGCAAATGATGACAGCATTTTAATTTTGGATAAACTATCCCTTTAATGACCGTGTGTACAGTAACATCAATAATGCTTTAATGATGCACAACATCAGAGCGCTTGCATTGTCTGATACCATCTGAATATTCGTTCAAAAGCAGCCTTGAATCAATGTTGTCTGGTGGATTAAAACCAAATGGCAAGCATTACCAAAAGAGAGAGCAGATGAGTATGATGTGTTAAATGCTGTTAAAAGACTTGCCTTCGATTTCAAGTGCAGAAGCGCACCCCATACACCTTGTTCGCAAAGCAGAATCTATTAAGAATGTAAAATCTCTGCCTGTCCCTTTTTCATTCTCTCTTTCTCTCTCTTTTCTAACAGTTCCCAGGATACCTTTTGCTTCACCTGAAAGCTCCCGTTACCTGAAACAAATTGCCTGAAGAAATCTGCACCGCTTCTGGTCCTAAAAATGCAAAGGAGATGCAGAAGTTGGCACGTTAAATGAACAATACTCTCATGTTTCTGCTCCTTTTTTATTTATTTAAAAAAAAACACCCCACTTAAGAGATAAATAAATAAATAAAAGATGAGAAAGTAACTTTGTAGTCTCTGTGCACTTGTGGTTTGCGCTCTGGGCGAAAACCAGCCCCGTTGCACAATAACTCCCCTGCACAAAAGCATATCGACACACTGCTGCAAGATGGAGTTTCACAGTGTGTTTTGAGAGAATCTTAGCGACACAATTTTCATCACAATGGTGGGATGTGAGATACTGATTTAAAGACATAAGAATCGATGGGCTGTTTTTCTATGAGACCTGCTGTGCCACATCCAGCTTCATGTCTATTTAATTTGCTGCTCGGAGAGCAAACATTACTCCTTTGCAATGTGAAATACGCAGTGATATCTTACATATCCATGAGACTACTGAACGCTTTTTAAAGAGAGATAAAACATATTTAGATATCATGTTGAATGACTGAATTAGTGAATCCGTGAGGCTACAATACTAAAAAGCACAAGTAGGAGAGAAGAAAACCCTCGGGTGATCTCTTATAGAGGGGATCTGCATGCTAGATATAGATATAAGACGGGAAGCCGGCCGGGGAGCCCATCCTAATGCAGTCGGAATGACAGAGAAGAGAGCATCCCTTGTTTCTTTTTCCCCTCTTTCCTTTCCTCTATCCGTGCCGTTAGAGAGCTCATTATAGAGTATGCAGAACTCCGGAGGAACGAGCGAGTGAGAATTGTGGGATTTCTGTACAGCTGTAAGCTACACTGCCATTCTCCCCTTACAGTCGGTTACTGACAGTATATTGATTGCCAGCTTTCCAATGATTCCAAATCAGTTTTGGGATTTGGGATACGATTTTGCTTACTTGCGACTTGTAGAGACTTGTAGTCATTAATCCAGAGATCTGATTGCAGATCAGCTTTTATAGACAGAGCCACTAACGACTTATATATCTCAGATGGATGATGAACTTCGAAAAACTCTGGCTTAATCACTTTTAGTGCTGTTACGCTAATAAAGATTTAAAATCCCCATCCACTCCTGGAAATGCTTTGAAAGAAGTCAGGCTTATAATGATAGACCGGTTCAAAAGGTAACCTTGTGCATATCACCTATTGCGGCAAGGCCTGCAGAACAATGAGAAGCTCCGCTGAATAATACATTTCTCAAAAAAAAGCAAGGAAGAAGACATGAAATATATAAATAACATAGCCGGGTTCACTCCGAGTTCATCGGCGGAAGGTCAGCAGTAAGACAGGAGATCAGGAAGTGAGAAAGAAGAAGGCAAAACAGGGAAAACTTTTCTTTTTCCACGCACTGGAGCCGTGCCCCCTGCTCATAAATGTTGCTAAAAAGATTAGCTGCCAGCAATCAGCCTGTCGCTGAATCAGCTTTGAACTGGTCAGGGTCGACTTATCACATGACCAGCAGCCGTTTGCGGCGGTGGGCTGAGCCACGCTGTCAGGTGAGAGCCGCGTTTTACTTGCATAATTCTCCAGATGGGAGTGATGAGTTCACAGGCACCAAATTGGGGGGGTGGGGCTGTTGACATATAATCGTTTTAGGAGGGTGAGCGGCTCGGTATGGATTCTGTAACGTAGGCAAGTGCGCACACGCACACAGAAGGAGGTCAATAACAGGCTGGGCTTATCGTCCCATTTTCACGCTCCCCTCACTCTGGGCTCATCGCTTGTAGCAGCAGGGCAAGATGTGTGTGGGTACGGGTGTGTGTTTGTATGCACCGTACACCATCCCAATTACACATACACATCTCCTGGGTCTGCTTTCCAACTACAACATCAGTGGAATACAAACTGATCAAGTGTTTTTTGCCCTCTCGTTTTTAATCACATCACCTTTTCCTGTGGTTTAACACATCCCTAGCCCACCAACAACCTATCCCAGTGGAAGCGCTGAACTGAGAGATGACCCCAGTCATCAGACCCGGTCTGGGCTGATTTGTGGGGATACGCTCTCTCTCCTCCTGAGACAAAGTTTCAAGCCTTCACCTCACTGCCTTTGTCTGTCTCTCATCCATCCACACAAAGCATCGACTAAACTCACTCCTGCAGATTAGTAACGAGACAATGAAACAGAAATGTGCATGCAGGGGCGTTATGCTTCTGCTTTTTGAAAAGGCACCACTAGCAGACTTTACTCAGTACTTTCCCTAAATGAGAGAAGGCATGACAAAAAAAGTGTAATATATATTTATTTGGAATTGTAAATTAATAAATGATATAATTAAATAAATATACAAATAAATGTATAATTTTATTAACTTATAATAAAAAAAAAGAAAAAATGCGATGAAATTCTGATAACGTTTTTGTGATTTCACACAGATAAACTATAAATATATGATCCAAATCAAAATAAACTTTACAAAAGTACAAATTCTCTATATAAATACATTAAAAATAATAATAATTTCCACTACCATTTAGAATTTGGGGTTAGTAACTTTTTTTGTGTTTTTGAAGTCTTCACTATGGCTGCATTTATTTGATCAAAAATACTGTAAAAGCAGCAATACTCTGAACAATTATTACAACTTAAAATAATAATTTTCAAAGTGTAATTTATTCCTGTGATGGCAAAGCTGAAATTTCAGCAGCAATTACTCCAGTCTTCAGTGTCACATGATCCTTCAGAAATATTTTTAATATGCTGACTTTGTGCTCAAGAAACATTTATTATCAATGTTGAAAACAGTTGTGCTGCAAAGACCCCAGAGGTCTTTGATGAATAGAAAGTATTTACAGACACTTTTGTTCAATTTACTGTATTATTTAGTACTAATTTCTTTCACAAAAAATATGTTATATATAATGTATATGTATATGTATATAAATACATAGCAGCATGACCGTCAGTTGCATTATATGGAGGGAAAAAAGTTCTTATGATACATCAACAAGATGGGTTTTTAAAAAATCTGAGGGGGCATGTGTCCTTGCTTCTGTGTGTGTGCTAGAAGGAGCAGTGATTGTTTAATCTGTTGAATTAATAAACATTGATTTGTGCCATAATTGTGTGATTCCATGTTTGTACAAATAAGATACGATGACAGTTTTTGTCACATCACTTTCTTTGAGCTGTTGTGAACAAAATGTATAATTATGTGAAAATTTGTCAGGAAGGTGATAAAATGAACATTGATTAAATTGTTTAATATCTGTTCTCCTGTGAGCGTTGACTGCTCTAATGTGACAATACAACACACATCTCATATACAGTATTATACAGTGCACTCTGTTCAGTCGGCATACAGTAAGTGTTAATGGCTGCATGTCACATCCACCTGGGTTCATATGCTTGTTTGTTTGGCACTCTGTCACTTTGAATTGCTGGCAAGTGGCACCAAAGCACACTGGCTTCATGCCCTCAGGGGTGTAATAGTTTATCTCACTCACACTCACCCATCACAATTATCATGCCACAACCACTCAGTGCTCATTGGAGGTCATCTCAGAATGACAGCTGTCATTGCTTTCTGATTACCCCCACCTGGGAGAGAATTAAAGACAAATAAACCAGCGGTAAATGGTGTGTGTGTGTTTGACGTGGCCACCCCAAAGCCTCTCGTTTCCTCACGAATATCCAACACAGTGGAGGTGTTCCAACTGACTGTACAGCACCAGAGGAAGGTAAAGACATTATTACCTGAATCTCAACATCGGCCTTAGCTAACAGACTTACCATTTTGAAGATAATGGCAATATATTTACAGATTTTCTTGGAAGATACATTCACACTGACCATTTTATAAGACAAGTGCCCATTTAAATCCTATTTAAGATAGCATCAACACCAACAGCCCTGACCAGCATCAGAAGAGTGCAATTAGTCATAAATAAACAAATATAAATAAATAAATAATCAATGCCAAACAATCACATGCCACAGAACAGCATATTATTGCTGTAGCTCAACTGTATAGAATGACATCAGCAACACCAAGGTTCCGTTTTTAGGGGGAAAAAACCTTCAAATGCACTGTAAGTCACTTTAGATAAAAGTGTCTGTTAAATATTTAAAAGAAAAAAACAATGTATTATCAGGTTGGGGGATTTTCAAACTTTTAAAAATAAAATGACTATCTTTTAATGATTTGTAATTGATTATTGAACATTTTATCCATTATTTACAGTGTTAAGAGTTACGATAGTAACTAGTTGGAGAAACATATTCATTTCAAATATATTTTTTCAGCATTTTTCATTATAAATATTCTTATAAAGCATCTTTACAGAAAAAAAGTGTCAAACATGTAGATTAAAAAAAAATAAAAAATACAGCCACAGTTACACGTATTAGGTATGATACTTAATTTAGATTTTGTATAACACCTGACACAAACTAAGAAATTACTGTAATATTTCTATTGACAAAAAAGGTCAAATGATGTATGGTTTGTCCAAGGTAAATTGAACTATGGCATATATTTTCATAGCATCTCAAATAAGATGGCCTGATGATTATTATCTTTTTCCCTCTTTAAATATTTGTACACTCTAAAAAATAAAGGTTCCTAATTGGCATCTACTGTATAGCTCTATGAAGAACCTTTAACATTCATAGAAGATTTTCATTGCACAATCAATCAAGAAACTGTTCACTGAAAGGTTCTTTGCGGAACCCAAAATATTTATTTTATGGCATTGCTGCGAAAACCCCCTTTTGGAACTTTTCTTTTATAAGAGTGTAATATTTACTTGGTATATACATATTGTTTCAACAGCATCTGACCCATATGTTGACTGGCCATCCTGGACTCCCAGTGCTCCCTATGGCCAGTCCATCCCTGGCTAGGCCAATAATCAATTCAACATCAGCTCTCTTAAGCGAGTCCATGCGGCATTGAATGGGGTCTACTCCATGGTTAACATGTGTCTCGGTCATTTAGCATGCGGGTATCATGCCATCATGACTTTTAACTCCAGAGGAGGAAACTTGACGGCAGACCTCAGGGGAGAGCCACATGGTAATGGTAATTTCAGTGTGAAATGTAGTCCCTGGTAAAAAGGTCAAGGTATCAGCATAAGCCCCCTTGAGCCAGGCTTAAGGCCTTTTCGGGACCGCCGGTACAAGACTGACCCCCATTCTCCTCTGCAGATCCTCCAGATATCCCTACACCTTCCAACCCCACAGAGAGAGAGAGAGAGAGAGAGAGAGAGAGAGAGACTGAGAACTGTGGAGCGCCATGTCGGAAAGAGGAGGGGGTCTGGTAAGATGAGTGGAACTCTGAAGGACCGCTTCACATCCCAATGAGAGAATTTGGTGTGGAAGTGAACTTGTGTATGCAAGTGATCGATACCAGCTACCCATCTTGCTCGTCTCAAACACACACACACACACACACACATGCAAACGCACCCAGGGTGCAACAGTGCTGTCTCACTCCGCCTCGTAATGAGTGTATAGGCTCAACACTGGCAGATGGGAGAAATGCCACCGTTGCAGAGCGTGTCACTCAGCTGTGATAAGATGTATTAGAGAGGAACCGCTCCTTAAATCATGAGAGTATAAGCATATGTTGTTTGTGCTACTTTGTTTGCTTCTGGCTGGCCTTTTTTTTCTGCCTGTTTTATTTGTGAACTTGCTGTGATGTGGCAGGTCTTCAACAGCTGGCTCAGTCAAAGATGTTTAATCTGGGTAAATCTATGGAAAAAAGGAATCAGAATTGGAGACGAAACGTTAAAAATCGCTAAAAGAGCCGTGAAGTGATGTGCTACTGTAGGTCGGCAGACTAACATAACAAATATCTGTCAGAAAGCAAAGCTATTTGTCTAATACTGCCCACATAATTTGTCATAAACGGAGCTCTAAATGAACATTTGGGAGGAGCATGCAGAGCTAATCCTGTCAATCAAAACACAAGGACGTACATTAACGTTCAAAAGTTTGGGGTTCAGTAAGATTTGTTTTGTTTTAATGTTTTTGAGAGAAGTCACTTATGCTCACCAAGGCTGCATTTTTTGTTTTTTGGATAAAAAAAATACAGTAAAAACAGTACTATTGTGAATTACTGTATGTATTTTGAAATGTAATTTATTCCTGTGGTGGCAAAACAGATTTTTTTTGCAGCTATTACTCTTCAGTGTCACATAATCCTTATTTGATGAATAGAAAGATCAGCAGCATTTAAAATAGAAATTGTTTATAACATTACATATGTTTTTTTACTGTCAATTTTAGTCAATTTAATGCACCTTTGTTGAATAACAAAAAAAAAAGCAATCCCCAAACTTTTGAATAGTAGTGTATTAACAACCGCTAAACATTCTATTATCTTTATTAGGTAGTCCAAAGAAGGAATTCAGCTCTTAGGCAAGCACTATGTTTGCCTCCATCTCATTTCAAGATTATACAGAAATGTGAAATTGTGATTTCTGATTCAGTTTAAGATCCCAGAATCTCTTGAATCCAGATACAATGGTCCCAAAAAATATTTAGACACTTTAGTCGCAGCCAGAATGTATGCATTTCATTTCATTATACAACAAAATTTGAAAATCAGTGGCATTTAATTTAAAGGAAGAAAGCACGGGCACACTTTTCAAGCTAAACATTTCACAAAAAAGTAGTTGGTTAGGTTTTGAATTAAAAATAATGATACACTTGTCAAAATGTAGATAAAAAAAGGTCACTATGGTGTCTTTTGTATTATCAAACATAAGTTACTCATGTTCATATAATGTCATGTAACTACACCTGTGGTTACTCTGCCAGGGCACCTATATGAAGAAACTCTTTGAATGATCCACTACAGAGTGACCTTGGGACCTGTTGATTAAAAATAATAGTTAATAAGTTAGTTCTGAGAAAAGCTATAGCGTGCAGCATTTGCCTGCAAATACCACTTTGTCAAATGCAGTGACATTCCTACATTGGCTTAAGTGTTACTTATGTGTCCAAATACTTTTTGGGGACACTGTGCATTTAATTTCATGCTTTCACACCTGTGTACAGTACAACACGGATATTGTCACCTTCACCACCTGCTTATCGATTACTCTGCACAAAAGTGCTCTGGTGTCTCAACAGAGGGAGGGTTAGACAGAAAACAAGGGAGGGGGAGTGACAGGAAGAGATCCCCTAGAGGACGCAGTTCGAAGTTCCCATGAAAGGGAACTATTAATTTCCCCTCAATCGCTCCATTAGTTAATCATTTCTACTTGAAGGGAGAAGCACTGTATAACAAGAGCTTTAATTACAGAGAAACATATGTGCCCCTATTTGGCAAGAGCCACTCACAGGGAAAGAGAGTGAGAGAGCGTGAGAAAGGGAAAGGGGGGCACAGAGACACTGGGATAGTTTTACAGAGGAGTCCTATATAAAAGCTGAAAGTTGGGAGGTTGGGCACATCTAAACTGTTTTCATAATAAAAACAGTGTCAGGGCTAATTTCCCCCACAGACAGCGTTTAACAATGAGCGATGCAGCAGGTTTTAGGAGGCTGCCACGAAACACGATCCCAGGAGCATTAAGCATATTTTCAAACATGTGGGAATGCTTTCGTTCTGACATAAAAGTCGACCTATTCCCAAGCGGCAAGCCTAGCTACCTTCAAATGATGTTCGTTTTGACAACTCTCTGCACTGTTTTGTCCAGAATTAACCTTGAGGCAAGCCCGCATCTTTGAAGCTTGGGCTGTGATGTGAGGAAAAAGCCTGGTCGAAGTCAATAATGCTGACGATCACGGCGGCATTACTGAAAAATGGCTCATGAGCTCGAACTTTGACCCTGGTGAGGTGATTGCCATAAAGTGTGAAGGGATTTGAACTCTACTTGAACCTTGGGCATTAAGTGGAGAAAGAATGGGGACATTACACCAGTGTGTACATTGTAATCATCACAATCAAGCGGGCCGCAGTGGTTATAGTGTACGACAAGGGGTTCCCGAAGAGTTCAGTGCAGCGAATGCACAAGGAGGACACATGTGGCGTGCAAAAAGAGCAGCCCGTCTACAAAACAAAGGCAGGAAGCATTCGATAAAGCAGGCAAGATGGAATGAAATGCACCTTGGTAAAGCAAAACGTCGATGGGTGGATGATCAGTGGGACACTTGTAATGGATGGCGATGGATTGCGCGGTTTAATATTACATCTGGCAGGTCGAGCATTGCAATATCTCTTCCGAATAAATGTTAACCTAGAATCCCTCTGCTAAGAACACCTGCTTTGTTTGTCCACGCACCCATCGATTGCACTTTATTGAATGCTCAAACACAGTGCACCTAGATTGATCACCACTAATTAAACGTTCTCTGCATGTTCCATTTCATGTTCCTCAGCTCGCCCGTTCATACGCAAATGCTAATTTGCAAACCATCTGATACAGGAAGCTCCAGGTTGGGTAATGCATTTCGATGTAATGTGCTTATTTTCCTCTCTTGATTTTGTCAGGGCAAATCATTGGGTTTGACCTGTGCTCTCGACCTCTAACCCTTGACCCTGACACATCTTACCAGGCTCCACTCCAGGGGCAGCAAATTAATACAGGGGCCGCAGCTTGTTAATTGTCGAAAAGATTGGCTAACTGATTCATCACCTCAGTCATGGCCAATGCTTTGGTTTGACCCCTCTGAGATCCCATAGGGCATCTGTAAGCAACCCCAGCTGTGCTCTCGCCCATAGCCGATGTTTGCAGCGTAATTATTCAGTATCGGCCCCCTTATTAATCAAGTCAATGCTCCGCATTTTAAATGGAAATTGCGGGATTAATACAAGCATTAATTTTGTCTGGGCGAAATCGTGATGGCTTTAGCTCTGCTAATCAAATTGGAATAAAAAAGCAAGCTGAGAGGAGGGGATGATTGAATTAGGAGAGGCACTTGGGCCACCCACACACACTTTCACGTTATGCTGCACGTTGCAAGCAGGGCCCAATCCTAAACCACCAATGCCCCAAAATAAGGGCTGCATGCAAATGATGAGAGCTTTTCACACTGAAGTGGATATATAATTACAGATGTGTATTGCTAATTGCTAATCAGTCTTTAGATCATTAATAACTATGAATGTAATGTAAGCAGTGGCGATATTTCACATTTCATCTTGCGTCAAGAAACACCAAAAATGCATTTCAGGGTTTTACTAGAGTTACATATCAGCATGATTTAGATGTAATATAAAGAAGATTTCTTTATATTTTAATGAATTATGAATGATCACATGACATGACAAATAGCTGCTGAAAAATTTGCTTTGCCATCACAGGAATAAATTACATTTTAAAACATTGAAACAGAAATGAGTTTTGCAAAATT